TATTTTTTTTTTTTTTCAAATTAAATACTTATGTCAGTACAGTATATGCACCTATCCAAATATTGTTTAACATCTATAAGTATTACTAGTATTAGGTATAGCCGTATAGGCTATTATAATATTCGATAAATTAATATTTGTCACTGATCAACTCTATGAATCGGTTAATAAAACTGGTTTTAATTGTTTTAGGTACGACAATCTACCTATAGAATTTACCCACAGAATGATATAGCCATTAGGGATGCATGGGTTAATGTAGAGAATGGAAGGTACACATTACACGACTTTATACGTAATGTTTATTTCACTCCGGAACAAATCCTCAGAAATGAGTTGGGAGAGCCAAATTTTGAGCTACGTAAGCTCTTCTTAAATATAATAAATTGATACTATAAATAATTTGAAGTTTTAACATTTGAAAAAAATAATTCTTATATCAAATTTTTATTTTATAGGACCTATAGAACAGGATAATATACAATTGATATTACCACCGCCCCAACCATTAATATTGGGCTCTTTGCGTCCTTTTAACCTTTTAACCAACCAGTTCTACGACCGTTGGAGGTTCAACCACATCGTGTTCGTCAATTTCCTGAACTTCGTCCACCATCGCCTGAACTTCGACCACCATCGCCTCAACTTCATCTACTGCCACAAGTTCAAAGGAGGGCAATACATATTCGTGGTAGAGGTAGAAGAAATGGCAGACCTTATCCTTTAGGTAATAGAAAAATATTTTAATACTAAATTAAGACATGTAAATAATGACTCAAATAAAATTGTATGAATAGGAGAAAATGGGGGACGAGGAAACAGAAGAGGACAAATTCCCCGTGGAGCTGCAGCAGCAGCTTGGGCATGGTTTTATCGGGAGGATATAAACAATGGTAAGATTAAAATTTAAATTAACATTGTAGAACAAAATATTACAATTCTAATATAAATATTTTATATTACTTTCAGAACAAGAGCCAGACCAAGAAGTTAATCAAAGTAAGATAAAACAAATTAATAACAGTAATGTAAGAGCACACATCTGAGCACAAATCACATTTTTTTTTTTACATTGAACAATCACTATGTAGAAATTTATTTATTATCTAATATATTATTTAAAAAAAAAATATTTAGGTAAAACTTGGAAACACCTTTTAGATTTATAGATTCTGGGCTGAGCGTAAACAACGAGTGAACATAATTTACCAGAAAATTTCCAATTTCTATTTCTAATTATATAAATATGGTATACTAAAACTAGAGATCAAACCTCTTAAAAATGATTATGCAACATCGTGATAAATTGATATTAAATTATTACATCCAAAATTGGTTAAAATGACAGTAACATATAATTAAAAACAATAGGTAATGTTAAATAATAGGCACAATTAAGAGAGGTGGCGAGGGGAAAGCTAAGGTATATCTTAAATTGCGTTTCAAATTATACTTCCTACTAACTATATTGCAGTCTTGTATGTGACCAATGACCATGCATAATATACAAACATATAACCTGTATTTTTAGATGCTTAAGTAAAAACTGTGTGCACAATAACCAACCTATATTTATTATTTTTCAATTATAAATCAACAATTATATACAATTAAATTTTTATTTTTATCATTTTTAACTGTGTGTCATATCACCAATGTTCAATCATTTAAAACTTTTATTTTAACATTTCAAACCGTTTTTAAAAAAGTTAGCCAAATCAATTAATTGAAAATTACACAATGTTATTAGTTAATAGTTGTATTGTATAATGTATTTTTATACAATAAAACATTAAACAGTAATTGATACCAACATTTAAAACATCAAATTTTCAAAATAGTTATTTATATATTTGATATTAATGACTTACACAATTCATTCAATATTTTATTTCTAATTTAACAACTAGTAATATATACTTCATATTTTTAGGAGTGGAGCCAGATGAGGATCAGGAGCTGGATCAGCAACATGAAAATGAAGAAAGTAAGATAAATTTAAGTTGTACCTACCTTTAGAATGTTTTTCAAAATATTTATTTTTCAGTTCTTGAGATATGGGTTATTTGTATTCAGAGAGTGAGCAATGTTAAAACAATGCCTTGCCAGCATATGTTTTGCGGGGCATGCATAGTAAGGTGGATGGACATGGGGAATCCAGGATGCCCTTTGTGTAGAACCCTCATCAATCGTCTACAAAAGTATGCAGAAGTTATTATTTAACTGTTTATTTGTTATAATGATGTTTTTTAATTATTTTGTGTTTTTTCAATAGTTAAACTCAAGAACAAATATTCAACACATTACACAACAATGTTAATTATTAAAAACATTTTAAATATATTTTACTAATTCACAAAAATTAAAATATTAATAATTATTTATTTTTTTACACAAGTCTTGAAAAGAAGTTTTTAGACCATTATAATATATGTGTGAGGTAATTTGTTAGTATGATGCAAAATATTTTTGTTTATTATTTTGATAGGTACTACCTAATTGTACGGAAAGGTTATTTTCAATAACTATTCATTATGTTTCAGTTAACTTAAATAGTATTCAAATATTAACCAGACATAATTTACTAGTTTAGTCAAAGATACTTGTCCTCTGAAGTCGTAAGTTCACCAATTTAAAACTTTCTGAGGTCTAGTGGAAACCTACAGCAGTGGGTACTTGCCCACCACTTTAAAAAAAAAATGTGGTCTGTTTGTGTACCTACCTAGGTTAGGTTAGGATTCTAGTAATTGGTTAAGGTTATATTTTAATTAATTATTTATACTTTTATTTATGATATTATATGATTTTGTTGTGTAACTTTAATATATTTTTCAATGCAACCTTAACATATTTATACTACAGTTTTGATACATTTACATTATTTTTTATAGGGACTTTTTTTTCCTAGCGTGGAACTTTTTTTACTGGGACTTTTTTTACCGGGACTTTTTTTTCCGTGATTCAGTTAATTCATTTTTATTTCCGCTTATACCAAGTTCTGACCAAAGTTTACGATTGGTTGATGCCCCCATCTGAAACTACTCCATCAATTTTAACTCCAATATTCTCCATCAGAGATATAGCTTTGATAACCAATATTGTGCCAAAACTAAACCTATAAATTATAATATATAAAATATACAATTTAATATAGAAATGCAGGACATTAAAATTATTCAACATTTAATAACTTACCATATATCCATATAAATACGATCTGTACTTATAAATGAAACATAGAACACAACATATAAATCTGGAATCATAAATATGTAACTTCCACTCTGGCTAAAGTGCACTTTACCACCCCATGCATATTTTTCGATTTTTTTTTTTTGGAACCTACTTATATTAATGATTTAAGAATAATGGTGCAATTAGAATTTGTCGGTCGGATATAGTTTCGAAGTTATGGCCTTTGGAAGTAAGCTATTTTGAGTTTTTTTACGCATGAGCACATACCTACATTGTCACGTCTTTCGCGATTTTTTTTTTTTTATTCGTGAGACTTATTATATTAATTAAATTATTAATGAGTACCTATTACTTATATTTAAGCCTAGATTGTTGTTGTTACTTTTTTTAACCCTGTGGCTCACTTGGGGAGGTGTTGCATAGCAAATCGAAGGATATTTTCGTTTTTAATTGTCCGAGCGAGCGCGGCAAGCGAGTGACCCCGCTCGGTAACTTGGTTAAACAAAAATTAATTTTTTAAAAAAATCCAAAATCGTTAACTCCAAAACGCTATAACTTTGAAACTAAGTTCGATCGACAAATTCTGATCGCACCATCGTTTTTAAATAGTCAATATACAGAAGTCTCCTCTCAAAAAAAATTCAAAATAAACAAAAAAATTTGGGAATTTTCGAATTTCAAACCGTTATAACTCAAAAACTAAATGTTTGAGTAATTTTTTTTGCGCCATCGTTCTTAACTAGTTGAAATACATATGTTTCAAAAAAAAAAATTTTCAAATGTTCGCTTGGTAGCTAAACTGCAATTGTTCCCGTTGTGGGTATACAAAAAAAACACAAATTCGCAAATTCCATAAACCAATTAATAACCTACTTCAAAACTAAGTTCGATTGACAAATTCTGATTGCAGCATCGTTTTCAACAGGTTAGAATACGTAAGAACCTACCAAAACAGAAAAAAAAAATATGAATAGCATGGTACATTATAGCGTATTGAGAATGCGTAAAAAACGCAAATTTTAGAACTTCCATAGGACATAACTTTGAAACTAAGTCCGAACGACAAATTCTGATTGCACCAACTTTCTTAAATAGTTAATATAAGTAAGTTCCGAAAAAAAATCTAAAAATTTGCATGGGGTGGTAAAGTACACTTGTTCCGAATATTTCAATTTTCAAATAATAGTTGTTCCATTAAAGTATAAACATTTGTTCTATACTTGGAAAATATAATAGCGTGATAAAAATCCAATGTTTCAGATCTGAATTTATCGAGTGGTTCTAATAAACTATCGTTACTACAGGTTTCTCTGACTATGCGTTTTGCTGTTATCTTTCTTTTAACTTCCAAACATGGTTCAATATTCCATTTATAAGCAAGGCTTTTTGCTTGTTGTTCAATCTGACTAAATACAGAATTTGTATTGTCTCTAGATCTCAATGTTATGATTTGCTCTAAAGCCCGATCAATAAATATAACAGCTTGAAAAAAATTAATATTAGCTGACTGTAAATACTTGGATACTGGTGAAGTAATATCAAAAATATTTTTAAAAACCACAAGTATAAAATTAATTAAAATTTTTAGTTTTTTTACTAAACTTTTGGCCATATTTTTTGTGTTTGAATCATTATCTTTTTGTAATTCTTCTAATGCTGCTAAAATTTCAGGAAACGTTAATAAAATCATTTGTATAGATGAACTGTGCGATGACCAACGAGTAGTTGACAACATTTTGAATCTGAGGGGCCTTTGTTCTGGTATCAGTTCTACTTGTTTGATTTTGAATAAAGCATTTCTTTTTCTAGCACCAAAGTATGAGTACAAACATTCTAAAACACCAACAAAAATTTATTGCATCCTTGCAAGAACTACATATATCAACAATAACTAGGTTTAGTTGATGTGCATTGCACCAAATATATATTGCTCTTGGTACTTCTTTCTGTATTAATGTACGTAAACGATTTACTTGTACTTTCATAACATTTGCACCATCATATGATTGACCAATAAGCAATGTACGCCAATCAATGTTGTACGAATCACACATTTCGGTAAACAAATCGTAGAGACCTTTTGCGGTTGCATCTTCAGCTGGAGAAACAGCTATAAGGTTTTCATGAATATTACCTTCATTGTCACAATACCGCGCAACCATAACCAATTGATCAGTCTTAGCTATATCTGTTGATGTGTCCATAATTATTGACATATATCCAGATTTGCGAAGATTGTCAAGTATAGAGACTCGTACTTCTTCAGCAAGGCATTGCAGCATAATATTTTGATTAGTTTTACTTAGAAAATATAATCTACTTTTTTCATGGAATTTTTAAATTGTTCTAAATAAGTCGCTAAAATTACATTATGTTTTGCAATAACATGAGTAAGATCAACAAAATTACCTCGATTTTGACTTAATTTATTTTCATCATGTCCACGAAGTGCAATACAATGCCTGGCCAAGTATAATGTAACATCTCTCATTAGAATTTTAACTACTTCTCTATTGTGCATTATTTGTTCATTATTACCTTGTTTAATTTGTTCAAAAACTGAATACTTGGAAATATATGTTACTCTGTTAATTGCCGCTTGTCTATGTGCTGTTGTATCTTCATGTGATGATATTCGACGTTGTCCGTGTACCCAATCATTAACCCCATGTACTGTCCATCGCTTATCCTGATCACAATGGATTCCATGCAAGATACACCAAATGCAGTATATCCTATCTTTCGATACAGAATATGACAACCATTTCCGACTTGAAATTCCCATTATCTTATCATTTTTGTTAAACAATTCTGGTAGAAATGATCGGTTAGTTTTTGTTGATTTTGGAAAATTGTAATTTAAAATTTGGCAAGGACCTAGTTTTATTACATAACAAAGAACTTCAGGAGTAATTTGTTGGTTCACCAAATTAGCTGGGTCATTGCAATTGTAATTGATTAATAATTTTCCTTCTAGACATTTTTTAGGTGGACCATTTTGATCTAAACAAAAATGTTTATTATTATAAGAAGGGTAAATTAAAAATTCATTATTACATAAGGTGCTTTAGGAGCTATAAAATTATAAAATTTGATTAGTGTACAGTTAATTTTTTTATTTTGAATCAAGTGTGATTTGTCATTATTTTTAAATTATTCTTAACATTTACCTTCTTTATTGAGTTCAATGTGTTCAGTTTCTGATACAGTACTAATTGTACATAACTGTTCCAGTCCACTTGATGGCTTAATTCTTTTAGTTGGAGATTCAACATCCGTCACACATTCCTAACACAAGTACGTGTGTCAAACATTAATAATTAAAATTCATTTTGTCAAATAATATACTCTTATGCAAGGATACTATTTAGCTAGTTCTACATGGACAAAATTATTTAATATGATAAAAAACAAGTATTTATTTTTAAAAAATAATTGTAGTAAGTACCTCTTGCATGTTGGACTGGCCACTCATAACTTCTAACTGATTATTAGATCCATTACTCAAACTATTGGTCACAGCTATAAAATATAATGAGGAAAAAATGATTACTTGAATCTATTTATTTAAATCAACTGTGATTTGTCATTATTTTTAAAAAAATCTTAACATTTACCTTCTTTATTGAGTTCAATGTATTCAGTTTCTGGTACAGTATTAATTGTACGTAACTGTTCCAGTCCACTTGATGGCTTACTTTTTTTAGTTGGAGATTCAAAATCTGTCACACATTCCTAACACAAATACGTGTGTTAAACATTTATAATTAAAAATAATATACTCAAGCCATATTATACAAGGATACTATTTAGCTAGCTCTACATGGGCAATATTATTTAATATGATAAAAAAACAAGTATTTAATTTAAAAAAATAATTGTAGTAAGTACCTCTTGGTACCGCATGGTGGACTGGTCACTTCTAACTTCTTACTGATTATTAGATCCATTACTCAAACTTCTCAAACTATTGGTCGCAGCTATACAGTATAGAATAGAATAAAAGATTAGTTATATGTAAATATGTAATTAATAATTATGTACTAGTTAGAAATTAGTAAATAGATTAAAATCTACTAACAATTAAATAAACATGCAAAAACTATGTAAAATATTATAATAGTTAACTTAACTCACTGCTAATTTTTGAGTAATAAGTATTAATCAGATTACATCCAGTAAGAGATTTTCTTATTCTGCAAGACTTTATATGTCGTTGCCAGTTAACCTCATTTCACTTTTGTTTTTTTATGCCACAAGGGCACATTTCATTTTTGTGTTCAACATTCAGATGCTTTAAATTGTACAATATAAAAATTTTCGAGAATTTTGAATTTTAAAGGTTATCACTTATTAGTACATAATTATTCACATGAAGTATGGACTGATATAATCAAGCAGCGTACAGTTAAATTGTGAACAACAATAATTCTAAAATTAGTTGTGAGAACCCGTCTTCAGGGCCAGTAGTACCGTTTACGATTACAGTTCGATTACGTTTAATCAGCTGATAACAGATAACAGATAACAGGTAACTAAACCGTGATATAGATACGTTAACCGTTAACGCGTTTACATACCATATTTTATTTTATAGTACCTATGTAATATGTATATTGATTATAATTTATACACAATTACAATTAAAAGGTAATTGTAAGCATCTTACTTATGGCTAGTGGCTACATCCCTACATGTTAGTTGTTTCATGTTTGTTATATTGCTATGTTTATCTATTACATTGTGGTTTGTTTTGCTGTAACTATTTTTGCATGCTAAATAATTATAAGATTTAGATTAAGTTACATATTGGTTTCGCATATTTTACTGCCTAGTAGATACACACCCACCCATTTTCAAGTCAGGAGCAGGCGCTCCTGGTGTTTTTAATACACGCCGCCCCTGGTAGCATTGCATACATATGACATTAAAATATTCAAATAATATTACTTGATAATATATTAGATATTATTTTTATGGAATAATTATACAATATTGCATTATTGTTACTTAGTAATATTATTATGCGATCGAAACTTAGCATAGCGGCAACGTTTTGTAACTTAAATTGCACAGTGAGCTGTGGCTATACAAACTTCTATTTTTCAAATGAGAATTTCCTTTTTTACTGCAAATTATTTAGCAGATGATGTTCTTGTAAATGTAGATGTATCTAAATCAAAATTCTAATAAATAGTTGCTGAATTATTAAAATGTGTATACTAAGGATAATAATCCTTAAAATATATTTTACAATAAAAAACTATAAGTACCTACCTAATAATAGATGTAGTTCCTACCTATTCACTCTTATCAGTATAGGTACCTACTTAATAATTTTTCTAAATTATTTATCTTGATAGATCAATGGTAATTAGAACTAACAACTAACTACTAACATTTTCAAATCTACTTAGCTAATTCCTATATACGTATTATCCTTGGTACACAAAGTTATACCTATAACTCAAAAACTAATAGTTCGGATTTTGATTTAGATGCATCCCTGCATTTCCCTGCAATCCTCCCAAAAATCATGTAAGTAATAGACAAATAAATTATAAAGCCAATAGGTAATTGTAATTATTAATTAATGTTCAATGACAAATGTTTATTTTTTTTATTAATATTTTTCAATTTATTAATAAATAGGTGTAATAAAAAACTATAAATAAAATATTTTAATTTGTGTAGTGAAAAAATCATACAAAAATCATAAAAATTGTATAACAATGTTTGCACCATTGATATTATAAATTATAAAATCTAGTTGTACTGTTCTGGCCTGGTTAAATAGTAGGTATTTAACAATAGGTATGTACAAATACAATTCTATGAAGTATGACTGAATTAGTCATACTAATTCAACTAAAATTAGGTAGTATTTTTTTCTTTTGAACATTAGATAGGTGCCTAATGTAAGATTTTTTTTGTTAATTTTTAATATTTACTAGGTACTAAATTATCATAATTTAATAAACACTATGTTAGACCATAATAGCTTTGTCTAGCTTAGGCTCTATAAATAATAAATAAATGTAGTATACATGACATTTTATTGGAAGCACGTAAGTTTTAAAAATATTTATTTTCATTTAAATAAATAAAAAAAATTTTTAATATTGAATTGAACTGAAATATTCAATCATTTAGGTTATTTAATATGGGGAAGTTTTAATTTAAAACTATTGAGTAAAGTTTTTCTTAAATTGCATAAGCCTAATATTAGGTAATAACATTACAATTTCTTATTTTTTTGATAAAAATACATGCATGTAAGATATCCCGTAGTGGAAAAATATGAATTACCTACTTGTACATATTATATTGTAATTATTTAAATTGCCCATTACAGTTTCTCGGCCTTTCTAAAATTTGTTTATCCCTTTACCTTAAATAAGATGTATACAAATTTTTTAGAAAACACAAACATAAATAAAAAACATACCTACATAAGTTTAGGTATTCAAAGTGTAATTTATTAAATTAAGGTAAATTAAATGTATGACTTAATAACTCTTAGTTATACTATAATCTTTTAGATTACACCATATATTTCTTCCCTCCATATTTCACAATTGGATGGAGGAGGTATCAGGTATGGCACATCCACACAAAGCCATCCATGACCACAATATAAATAAATGTACTGAAACCTATTGTTTAAATTCCTCATGTAGTCATGTATCGTAAACACTAAACATCCTAGACACTGACTTCCAGTTGGATACGTAAAATTATAGTTTTCTATCTACCCACCTGTTATTTAATATACAAAATAAAATTTCATTTAAAATACTATTTTATATTTAATAATTTAATATTTACCCAATAGCTGCTCTCTCCTTAGTGAATTACAAATTGTGGTTTCAAAGTCAGTAACAATTAGTAGATTTTTCCAATAGAAAATATTGAATGGAAAATCTCTTCCCAAGAATTTCCATAACTGAATGTATACATTTTCTGTTCTTCAGCTTATAATGGCATACAATACAGGAACAGACTATAAGTATGAATGTATAATATAAAGAATATATATTATTATAATAATATTCAACTACTAAACGTAACAATATTTCCTATGTTGTCTATTATCACATGAATAGTGAAAATTAAGGTGCATAGTGTTGAAGAAATGCCACATTAGCAAATATTAAACCACCAAACACAACTTAATTATTATCAAGGTATTCAAGATTACCTTGATGGATGGGACATTGTTAATAACATCCAATACATTTAAGAAGTGTTCTTGCCGTCTTAAAGACATAATAGTCTTTCCCATAGCCCTCAGTGTTCGGTACTTGTGGACTAAATCTACGCTGAACGGCGTATTGCTGTAGGTGCATGTTCCCTTAAAACATCTATTGCTCCATTGGGATATCTGAAAACAATTTAATTTAATTTTAATGTAACTATAATTAGGTACACAACATTTTGTAGTAATATATTTATTTACTTTCTAGAGACATCTTCATAAATGGCTCTTATTGCTTGTATACCCTCGTTAGAAGCTCTGAGTCTTAATGCTGCTAAACATTGGCCAATCTCAATATCATGACCTGGATCATGGTTATGTGAGTCACTAGTGCATACAAAAAAATTAGATCATTCTCAGGGAATAGTGACATGGATACTGTCGATCCACAGCTTTGTTCATATCTTGAACATCTTAACTACCTAGAACCGTAATATTGTTATTTAAATTAACCTTCGAATAGTGGATACATGATTTTGAACATAGGTATAATCTTGTGTATCTCCATATTTCAAATTGCCACTCATACCCAGTGTTGTTCAATTCCTCGTTCCTTTAGTATAAATAGGAATTCGTTCAGTTCCTCGTTTATTTAATGTCAAAAGGAACTCGTTCAATTCCTAGTTCCTATGAAAGAGGAACTCATTTTTTTTCCTCGTTCCTCATGGTTCATGGGTTATCAGTTATTATCATAATCACTAATCAGAACCATAGAGTAATATAGAGATGGCGTTTTGTATATAAACAGTAGAATCAAGTTGAAACCATCGAGGAGGCAGTTTACAATAATCTTATCGTGTAGATCGCGCTGCAAATCATTACAACTTTTGTAAATTGATAATATGATATTGCAAATTGCAATTTGCAATTATCATAGAGTCAATTCTAACTTTTTCATTTTTTGTTTTTCGATTTTTAATTTATATATATTATATTATCTTCAGCCAAAATGCCTAGTTGTTTTGTTTGTGGCAGAACAAGGAATAAAAATTCCACAATTGAAGATATTACTTTTCATAAGTGAGTATAAACTTATTGTATAATATATTTTGTTGTATTTGATAACATGGTCATAAGGTCATAACTAATAATATTAATTATTAATATAACAACACTTATTTAATTTATAGGTTTCCTGTTAATGAAAAAGTTAGAGACAAATGGAAGAATTTTGTTTTGGAAAATAAATTAAATATACATAGTATAAATAAATATTCTGTTGTTTGTTCAAAACATTTTCTTGAGACATGTTTTGTGATGCGGAATAATAAAAGATTCTTAGTAGGAAATGCAGTACCATCAAAAATAATTTTAAGGGTCAAAAGTGTAAGTAATTTATATAATTTATTCATAATTTTAATAATATGATTATTTTAGGCTAGAAATTTGTATTCCGAAGAAGTCAAACTACTAAATCAGCCAATTGTGTCTTCTGATAATGAACCAAAAAGTAGTTTTAAAGTAACACAGACCCTGATAAAGGTACAATATTTTATGTTATTCTACAAAATTAGATACCTGTATATTATTGTTTATATTATTATATTATGTTAGATTATTTTGTATAAGTTATTTGATTATTAAATAAAATACACTTATATCCGTTAGTTATTGTTGTAGCAGTTAGGTAACTATTCTTGATAGATAAATCAAAATAAAACCAAAAGGTTGAAATTAATATTTATTTTATTTGTTATTGGTACATAGTTTATTAAATTTAAATACATTTTAACATTCTTGTTTAAGCCACAATATTTTATTAGGTACCTGATTATGTTATTTGTAATGGAGAATCAGTATCAGATTTCAACAAATCTACCTTCTCAAATACAAACACCTCTGTTAGCGCCAAGGAACATGAAGATCAAGTAGTTGGTTTTACTATTTAATTAACATTGTTTAATAATAATATACATTCAATTTAATTTATAGATTCCTATTAGTGTTAATGAAAGTGAAATATCTCCTTTAACCCCTAAACATTCAAGTTATTTGAATACCACTAAAGACGTGTCTGTTACCATTAATGTTGATGATATTAATGAATGTGGAGTGATGCCATTAACACCTGAGAATTCAAATTTCTTAAATATATCTGAACATGATAAATCGTGCACTTTACCGGTATTTGTTGTTGTTCATCTTTATTATCTATTTTAATTTGTTTATAATATGATCTTATATATTTTAGAAAAATTTAATTTCATCATTTGTGGCTGCTTCTAAGATTGATTCTTGCGATACTCCCAGACGGCTATTTTTAAAACGTGGTGTTCGTCAGTTATCAGATGAAGTAAAACTGAAGAACAAAAAGTTGAAGTTACTCCAACAAACAGCAAGACGTCAGAGTAAGAAAATTGCTTCCTTGAAGTCTATAATTCATAATCTTCAGAAGAAAAATCTAATCAATGATGAAGCCACCAACACATTATTGGAATCTTTTGGTAAGCATAGTGATTTGATTACCAATTGGGCAAACAAAAATGCTGGGAAACCACTTCCTAGAAAATATAGTCCTGCTTTACGCCAATTCGCTTTATCCCTTCATTTTTTTTCTGTCAAGGCTTATGCTTATGTTAGAAAAGAATTTAGCACTATACTTCCACACCCTCGCACTCTATCAAAATGGTATTCTCACATGCACGCTGAGCCTGGTTTTACGCATGAAGCTTTGAAAACTCTATCGCTTAAAGTAAAACACTCAGCTTATCCTGTTTATTGCAGCCTTATGGTTGATGAAATGGCTATTCGTCAACATTTGGAGTATGACGGCAATAAATATTATGGGCAAGTTAATCTTGGTAATGGTATGAATAATGACTGCTTAGACATAGCAAAAGAGTGTTTTGTCTTTATGGTTGTAGCAGTTAACGAAGACTGGAAGATTCCTATAGGCTATTTTTTAACCTCAAGTTTAAATAGTTCTCAAAAATGTGAACTATTAAAACATGCTTTGAGTTTGTTGAAATAAACTGGTATTAATATAATAAGTTTAACTTTTGATGGTTGCTCATCTAATATTACAATGGCCAAACTGTTAGGTTGCAATTTCAATATTAGCACATTAGATACAACATTTGTTGCACAATCTACTAACAATAATAATACTGAAGTAGCTGTATTTTTTGATCCAGCGCATATGATAAAACTCGTAAGAAATGCTTTTGGCGAAAAAAAAATTTTTATGGATGGAGATAACCAAATAGTTGATTTTAGTTTTATACAAAAGTTATGTGTTCTTCAGGAAACAGAAGGAGCCCATTTGGCCAACAAGTTGAGAAAACAACATATTCATTATCATAAGCAAAAAATGAAAGTTAAGCTGGCTACACAGTTAATCAGTCAGTCAGTAGCTGATGCTCTTAAATTCTTAAAAAATAACTTGTGTCTTCCTGATTTTTTGCAAGCTGGTGCAACAATAAAATTCATTGAAATGTTCAATGCTGGGTTTGATATCCTGAACTCTAGGTCAGCAAATTGTATAGGGAAAAAAAAAGCTATGTGTGAAGAAAACTATAAAGAAATATTAGAGTTTGCAAATGCTATAACAAAATATATCCAATGTTTGAAAGTCAAAGAAAACAATAATTTTGTACCTGTATTGGAGTCAAATCGTAGAACCGGTTTCATTGGATTTATTGTGTGTTTCAATTCTTTACTACACTTGTACTCTAGTTTAATAGCAACAAAAAAGCTGAATCATATTAAACTTTACAAAATTAGTCAAGACCATATAGAATTATTTTTTGGTAATGTCAGATCACTTGGTGGATTCAACAACAATCCAACGGCTCGCCAATTTCAATCTGCATATAAGAAACTTGTGATAAGAATAAACAATATTCCAAGTTTTAATTCTGGCAATTGTATTCCATTAGAACATATAGATGTTTTACATTACTCAAGTACAGATCCGGTAAAGGTTATAAATAATACATGTTCTCTAATTGATACTGATTTAAATGGAGAAACTTCTGATAAAGGGACATCTTTTATTAATGACCATGATTATATAAAAATGCAAGATACTTATACCTTCAGTAATTTTGCTCAAGAAATAGTAGTTTACATAGCTGGATTTGTTGTTCATAAATTGATGTCAAGTCTTAAATGTGAAACATGTATTGAGTCTCTGATTGCTACCGATAAGCAACAATTTTTAAATTCATTCATCAATCTTAAAAACCAAGGTGGTAAGAAAGGTGGTCTGATATATCCCAGTGATGATGTCATTACTATATGTATTCTTACAGAAAAAATTCTTCGGAATTTTGATTATCAAAATAAAGCCGTAAATACCTTATTAGTGCAGTCTAAAGTTCTAAGTAATTTTTTACATAATACACACATATTTACTTCTTTAAATATTCATAGAACAGAATCCTTAAGTCCATTATCAGATCATGCCATCCTTCTTATAAAATCAATTTCATCCACATACACAAAATTAAAAATTAACCATAGTATCAAAAAACTAAATGAAAAACCGTCACTCCGCATGTGGTACAATAAACTTACTTTATTCCAAGGTAAATAATTTATTTACATTATTATATAATAAACTATTGAATTTTCACTAATTATTAATTAATTGAACGATTTTTTTTTTTGTACTAGGTATTTGTATTAAAATAATATTATAAACTGTATTGTAATAATAAGATATAAAAATCTTAATAATTAGTATTTAAATATATTTTGATCATAATTACTTATGTAAATTTATTAAAGCTGAATGTTATTATAAACTATATTGTATTTGTATTAAAATAATATTATAAACTGTATTGTAATTATAAGATATAAAAATCTTAATAATTAGTATTTAAATATATTTTGATCATAATTACTTATGTAAATTTATTAAAGCTGAATGTTATTATAAACTATATTGTATTTGTATTAAAATAATATTATAAACTGTATTGTAATTATAAGATATAAAAATCTTAATGATTAGTATTTAAATATATTTTGATCATAATTACTTATGTAAATTTATTAAAGCTGAATGTTATTATAAACTATATTGTATTTGTATTAAATTAATAATATTATTATTAATACATTTAATTAATATTTGTGTTATTTTATTAAAATCATAATTTCAAGTATAACTAAGAACCATCCAAATGGAAAAACAATAAAATAGTAATTGCACCATATTTTTTTCGCAAAACATGGTAACACTGTATACAGGAGGCATTTGTCGCTTCAATTTATTTCAAAACGCCATCTCTATATTACTCTATGATCAGAACACAAAGTCTTAAATGAATAAAACATTGTTAGTCTTGTCTATTATTTTTTTTATAGATTAAAACATGATAAGTAAACAAAAATACAACATTTTTATCCCCAAATGTTATTTTAAACTTTTCCGAGAAGAACAAAATAATTCTAATATTTACGTTCCTATTCCTAAAAATAAGGAATTGATTCACATTCCTATTCCTTTAAAAAATAATAGAATTTATTCCTTCCTTTAGGAACGCGTTCCTTAACAACACTGCTCATACCTGGACCTCTCTAGATTGCAAGTTGTCTTCAACATTTCCCAAAAGATGAGCAATGATAAACGCAATTGGAGATCAAGATCTAGAACGCGGTATTGGATCATTTTGTGAATCTAAATTAATTAAACTAATACAATTTAACAAATATCTGTAATGCCAAAAGTGTAATTTTTTTTTATGTATTTATTGCTGTGAATTTTACAGTTTTTTGTTTCTTAAATACAATATTATGTAAATATCAAAGTAATTAAAGTGTATCCAATTTTTAAACTATTAATCAGTACAAACTTAAAAATATATATTTATATAGGTAATAATAGTCCTACCTGTCATACTGAAAAATGTAAGAACTTAAAAACAAACAAAAATTTACCAGAAAGAATGAGAATGCTATAGACATTCGTGACGAACTATGTCCATGGGATGAGTTCTATGGTGTCATTTCAGTTTTTGAGAGAAGGGTCAACATGTTTGTCCGGCCCATAATAAAACCGAAGAAAAAAGCCCGGCTCGCTAACAATTACATTACATTAGTACATAACATTACAATTGTATTTTTATCTCAATACAAATAGCCTTCTTAGTTCTTACCATACACCATGTCCACATACCTTATATTATTATAAACTATATTAATTATGTTATTAATATGTTATTCCGTCACGCATATTAGCATATTACTATAATAGTTACCATCACGCTTATCTGAGATAACCGTGGTTACTAATTACTGTCATAGGCATAAAAAACCCATTTTTTGAGAGATAACAGAGGCTAAATAATTAATAATAATATAATATAATATATAATATGTAGACTGTAGAGGGATACCTAAATATATTAGTATATTACTTATTATATAGCTACTATAATATGAAGGCCCAAAACTAGCCCATACGGACATAGCAGTCCATAGCGGGCCGCTAATGACGAGGGGGGGGGGAAATCCCCACCTGGTAACCACCCCACCCATAAATGGGTAATTGGAAAAAAAAAATCACCCGACTACAATATTACCACAACTACATAAAAATGATTGAACCCATATTTTTTAAGTATTAACTATTAGTGTAATTACACAGCGTTTGGAAAGAGCGAGTTACAAAAGGGACGGATTCCTTGAACGAATTCCTTTTAATAAAAAAAGAACGAGTTCTTTTTTTTAAACAAAAGTAACAAAATTGGTCGTTCCTATTGTAGTTCCAATAATTTACAAAGATATGTAAATAATTGAAATTATTAATTAAGATATATTTTTTTTAATGTGGATAATGTCTATATTGCCAATTATTAGTGATCGTTACTCATTAATCATTAGTCATTAGTCACTAACCTAACCTATTTCTTTTAAGTTATAAGTTATAATTTATATAGAAATGAGTACCTAATTAAAATATAATTATTATTATAACGATAAACGATAAGACATAACGTCAGCCAACAATTTAATTTTGAAGAAAATCTCAAAATAGAATTATAAAAATGTAATACACATTTTAAGACAGAAAACACAAACAATAATAATAATATATTAATATGTATTAAACCTATTTAAACTCAATAATTGTTGAGTTAATTGGTTATTATGAAGGAGGAGGGGGGTAAATATATATAATAGGACGGTAATAGTGGACTGACCAATATCAAGTAGACATAACTAATAATGAATTCAAATCAGTTTTTAAAAATATTATCGCATTACTGGGACAGCGCTAGGGACGGCCCTGACCGTGACACTAAAGAATACAACTAATAATAATACAATGGTGATACTAAACAATAAATACTTTAAAAAAATATAAAATTAAATATATCGTATTTGTATATAATATATTGATATTGTCATTTGTCAAGCCTGGGAAAGTTAATGATTTTTTTATTAAAGTTCATAATTTGTTCCAAAGCAAAATTACTTTTTAAACCAATGGACGTTAGAGTAAATTAATATGTTTTAGACAATACTTATATTTATTCCATAAGACATGTCTTCAAATAATTACAGCTTGTTAAAAAGAATATTTCAAATAAAAGTTGTTCCAAATTTCAAATAAAAATTTGTTCCAAACTTAGGAAATATATTGCGTGATAAAAATCCATTGAAACAAATTCGATTTGGAATAAAACATTGATAAAATATAGTTTCCAACAATGATCCTTTAAATTAAAAAATATTGGAATTCTTGGCTATCGTGACATAATGGATTATGGAACAATTAGTCGTAGGAACAAATTATTCATGGAATGAATACACGTCGGAACAAATATTTAATACCTTCTTATAAGATTATATTTTATATTATATTTTATTTTTATATCAGTAGGTTATAGTCTATAGCCTATACGTAGAATAACTATAAATTATAATTAAAGAGAAAAAACCACAACATGTTAGACATTTTATGTTTTGTATTTTTAATGTAAATAATTATAACAAATAAATAATTCAGTGTGATTCATTTTTGTTGAAAAAATGAAGTTGACTGAATCATGGTTGAAGAATCCAAAGGCACGGGAATACTTCATCAGAACCTTATTTTATACTTATATTATTTATACTTTATTTAGTTAATGAGTGAAATGGTTATGAAGAAAAATGGTTTAACACTGCTACCTACAAAACGTAGTTCAACAGTATTATTAGATTTACCGAAAAGCCATAAAAGACATAAATCAAAAGACTAACCTAACATAATTTGTATTTATTATAATGACTTTTTATTTTATACTTATATTATTTATACTTTATTTAGTTAATGAGTGAAATGGTTATGAAGAAAAATGGTTTAACACTGCTACCTACAAAACGTAGTTCAACAGTATTATTAGATTTACCGAAAAGCCACAAAATACATAAATCAAAAGACTAACCTAACCTAATTTGTATTTATTGTAATGACTTTTTATTTTATACTTATATTATTTATACTTTATTTAGTTAATTAAGAAATTAGAATTAAGAATAATATAATATAATATTATTATTATATTTAACATAGATTATAGGTGAAACTATCATATTATGTGATAACATTGATAAAAAAATAAAATGATAACACTTTGGTGCCGTAATCGAATGTATTTATAACGACCCATCCCATTTCTGTACGGACTTCGGGAATACTAAGAAGTAAGAATATTATCTTGCTAAGAATTTTTATAATCTAGTTCTATAAATAATGTAGTAGACCGTCGCGCTTTGCCCAATATCGTCGATTAAGTAAACAGTTTACTACTTTACTGTTTAAAACGGTTTAAGATAGATCTAGGATAGACGGTCTATCTTAAACCGTGCTGTTTACTATAATAGTAGTATAGTCAATGCCAATTGCCAATACGCACCGTTTGGACGTCATATTATTTTAATATATTATTATTTATTTTAAAGTTAAACTTTGTCATTGTTGACTCTACGTTTATTAATTTTAACGATGACTGATCCAAAAATAAAACTTGGCAAGTTTTTGTTTGCAAAACAGGTATGTGTTACCCAATATTTAAATTATAATTTATCATTACCTAATTGTTGTGTTAAAAATGTAATATATAATATTCTAACTAAAGGAGTAGGTATGTATTACTTTCAAAAATATCTCTATTATTTCTTTTAGGTGAAATTTGTCTGTGACTTCACAAATGGAAACGTCAACCAATTACAGAACGTCCATGTACAGCTTTGAAATCATACATGCACTGCGTTGAAGATGTGTTTTCAACTATTAGAAAATTATTGCAAGTATTATCAACTCTACCAGTTAGTGTTTCCTCAGCTTAAAGGAGTTTCTCCACACTTCGTAGACTGAAAACCTGGATCATTCAAGGATGACTGAAGATAGACTATCAGCATTATGTCTAATCAATGTATATAATAAAGTAGATATTCTAGATCAAATAGATCACATTATTGATATTTTATGCCAATTTAAAAAATAGACGACTTGAATTTGTGTTGTAAAAATTGTTGTTTTCTTTTTGTTATAAGATTTTGAGAAATTATAACTTGGTCTCCCCCTAACCAAGGCTCTGGAAATCTGGTAATACGGATATCTTAGATTCCTAAACGTGACACTTATTTAATTTACCAATTGGTGACAGACATTAATTAATTTATAGCTAGGTATTTGCTATACGTTTATAGTGATGTCTAATTTCATTTACTATTACTATTAATTGTTTATAGCTTCATTTTGATGAAAACCAGTGGGAAAGAATAAGAGAAGATGGAAAAACAAAATTAAAAAGTACAGATGTCCCTTCAATTTTTTTTCATAAAGAGCCACCCAACCCTCCCAGAAAATCTCCAAAGAAAAGATTATTAAACTCAACCGTTAGTCCTTTAAAACGTTCCAAGTTTATAGTATCTGAACATAATTATTTTTCAAAAAAACAATTGACTTTTGATAATCCAGATTCATTCGTGAAAAATGATGCAGTTATTGAAACTAATAATAATTTTAGTAACAAAACTACCAATAATAATGATTATTCAAAAGAAGATTTACTAAAACAAATACACACATTAAACAACACATTATTAAAGAGAACAAAAATAATCAGAAAATTGAGTACCAAAGTAAATGATAATAATAAAACTAGAAATAAAATATCCATCAAAACTAAAAAGCAGGCTGTCATTTGTAGAACAAAAAAAAAATTCTTAAACGAAAATCAGATTTTATCCCTCAACTATAAATATACCAAAGGATTCAAATGGACAAATGACACAATTCAAAAGGCATTACGTTTAAAATTTTCATGTGGTTCCAGTGGGTATGAAGAACTCTTAGCACAAAATTATCCTCTACCTTCTAGTAGAACACTTCGTCGGAGATTACAAAATATATCCTTTAAGAGTGGCATACTTCATGATGTGTTTGAAATGTTATCAATCAAAGTTAATACCTATGTTAAATGATTTTGAAAAAGTCTGTTTTTGGTATTAGATGAAATGTATATTAATGCATGTATAGTTTATGATGTTGCATCAAAAACCTTTTTAGGAAATGTCACTTTGCCAGATCATGAAGGTGTGGCCAATCATGGACTGGTATTTATGTTAGGTGGCATTTCAAGTCGCTGGAAACAAACCGTAGCATATTATTTTACTAGTGATTCTGTCAGAGGTCATACTTTTAAGGCAATTATAGATGAGATAATTTCAAGAGCTGAATCACTGGGCCACCATGTTCATTCTATAACATCGGATATGGGAGCTTCTAATAAATCTATATGGATGAGTTATGGAGTTCACTGTAAATCTAATAGAAATGTGAAAAATATTATTTCACACCCATTTGAACCAGAACGTAATTTGTATTTTATGGCAGATGTTCCACATTTATTGAAAAACATCAAGCAATCGTTATTTAACAACAAATTTATAACAATACCTGATGATGTTATGATAAATAATAATTTAACTTCAAATATTGTTGATTGTAAACATATAGAGCAACTTGCAAACCATCAGGATGACCTAGAGCTGAAACTAGTCCATAAAATCAATGTGAATGATTTTAAGAAACCTAATCATTTTGATAAAATGAAAGTCTCTAAATCAAAAAATATTTAAGTACTGATGTATCTGCAAGTTTACAATATCTTGTAGAAAATGAAGGATACCATTCATCATATAACACTACAGCTTGGTTTGTAAAACAAGTAGAAAAATGGTTTCCATTAATGACATCCCGTAATCCCACTGTTGCATTAAGTAAATTTAATTCAGAAAATTATTTAGAAACATTACAGTTTTTAAGAGATTTTATGGATATGTTTATAAGAATTAAGATTGGTGTCAAAGGTTCTTGGAAGCCATGTCAAACTGGTGTTTTGTTATCTACTAAAGTATGTTGATGAAACAGGGATCACTATCGTTCAACATAAGCAAACAAAAATTATTGGTATGAAAGGGAAAAAACAGGTTTCTAAAGTAACATCAGCTGAAAGAGGTTCACTTATGACTCTAGTGACATGTATGAGTGCATCTGGAATATATGTACCACCCCTTATAATTTTTCCTAAAAAAAATATGAAAGCTGAACTTCTAAATGGAACACCTCCCGGTACAATATCAGCATGTCACCCATCAGGTTGGATCCAATGGATATTTTTACACAATGGGTTGAATATTTTATTAGCCATGTTAAACCATCTACATCAGAGCCTGTAATTTTGATACTTGATGGACACTATTCACACACTCGAAACTTAGATGTAATTGAGTTGGGAAGGAAACATGGAATCATTATTATATGTTTGCCTCCCCCCCCCCCCATTCAACTCATAAACTCCAACCGTTGGATGTATCATTTATGGGCCCATTTAAACATTATTATTCATTAGAAATTGAAAATTGGTTAAAAAATAATGAATATAGGTCTGTAACTGCCTATCAAGTTGGAGAACTAATGGTAAGAGCTTACATGAAAGCTTCTACTATTGAAAACGCTGTTAATGGCTTTAGAAAAACTGGAATCATTCCATTTAACCCAAACACATTCCAAGACTATGCATTTGTGGCAGAAACCACTATAAACAATGAAGAAAACATTCCACAACAAGAATCTACATTAGTAGCCTCACCTATTTCACTCGTTTGTACCAATACATAGATAAGTGAAATTATAGGTCCATTTGAAATAAGTTCACCGCCTAGCTTAACTATTTCAAGCAATAAAAGAAAAAATGCGGGTAAGTGTGCAGTTGTGAGATGATCTCCATTCAAACAAGATTTAGAAAAGAGTAAACAATCTGAACAGTGTCAGCAATCAACTTCTTCAGGGATAACTCATAAAAATACATCTTCATCAAAATCTAAATCAGTAGCAAAGTCATCTAAGAGAAACTTATTTCAAACAAAAAACAAAAAAAAATCCAAGTCATCAAAACTTCCTGTTTCATCATCAGAAAGTGATTTAAATGAAGAACCTAAATTAGTATCAACAGATGATGAAGACAGTGCAGATGAAGAGTGTCTGTACTGTCTTCAACCTTATAAGACTGATTTAAAAAACGAAAAGTGGATAAGGTGCATAAAGTGTTTGTTTTGGGCTTATGAGTTATGTGCTGGAATTGAAAAAGGTAAATGGAAGACTCACACATGTGATATGTGTTTTGAAATTTGACAAGTTATTAGAAAAGTTTATTAAGTATTAAAAGTTTAATTAGTTATTTATTTACTTAAAAAAAAAATGTTAAAGTTTGAAATGTTTTTTAAATTTTGTTATGATTATCAATAAGGAAATACTATTAATTTGACTTACTTAACTACCAAAGTTACTATTTATTTTGTTTTATAAAAATGTTTAAAAACCATAAGTCTGGTTTGTATCTTATGATTTATAATCATCATCTAAGGCACTGTTGGTTATTTAGTTATAATTAATCATAATTAAATAATAATTATATTATGATTAACTATTATTACTATATAACCTGTTTTAAAAAAATATAGTATTTTACCAAGTTGGTACTTAAAATTGTATTTTGTTTGTATAATATTGACTATCCAGTATTAGGGTCACCTACTATCCCTTATTATTAACTTAATTTGAAATAATGAATTTACTATGTTTTAATATTATTTCAAAATAGATTATAAATTTACTTCACTAAACCAAAAAAGGCCTAAGTACTAGTAAGTAGTAAGCATGCATAGATATAGGTATATTAACATTAAGAATGCTGAAAAAAAGTTAATTTATATACCTAAAATTAACAGTTTACTAAAACTTTCCCATATTAGGGTACTCTCCCCTATCTCAACCATCAATTAGGTATGTATACATCTATTATTTGGAATACAATGATCTTACATGTTTAAAAATATATGTTAAATATTAAATGTATACATAAATTTCCTAATTCATTTGTTCACAGAAATGTATACAAAGTTAAGAAAAATTGTAAATTAACTAATTTACAAAATACAGTTGCTGCTATAAGCAAAAAAAAAAACAAAAATTAAGGCCAGTTATTATGAGCGTAAATTATTATTGCTGGAAAAAATTGCTGCAGCCGAAGAAAAAAACGCTGAAGCTTTGATGAGTATAGCTCAAAGTTTGGCATCCAGACAAAATTTGTAACTGCTTGGCGCTTTTTTAAAATGTTAATTGTTTTCTTCTACTTTATTGTTTTATGCTTTTTACGCTTTTCTATTAAAATCTTCTTCACTTGGCTTTTCGGTTTTTATCTAATGTATATTATTATTGGGTAATTGACTATGAAAGTATTGAGTTTATGTGTTTATATGTTTATATGTCGTTTATGTTTTCAGGGTTGGTATGTTTTGAATGACTAAATTGAATGCATAAAAAGGACATCTAAGATATTTTAATGATGAATAAAACCAAGTTTGAATTAACTGTTTCAAACTTTTTTTTTTTGTTTTCTTAATGATAAAAAATTCATGATTTTTCCAACCCTATTAACATTGTTAATATATATGTTAGTTATGTTAGTTGAACATGCAAAAAGAAAAATTAATATATGTTAAATGCAGTGTTGGGTAGTAATGTAAAACTTTTCTAAAGTAATTTACCCAACACTGGTTAAATGTTAATAATATATATTAATACTTAATAATACTAATAATAATAAGATATGTATAAATACAAATAATTAGAATAACAAACACAAATTTGAAGAAATACTGTTTATTACAGACTAAATGGGTTTACTTTTTATGAACAGTATAAGACAACATTGCATGCTTTTTATAAAAGTGATTAATATATAATGTAACAAAAAACATTGACATTTTTAAATTTTAGTTTTATTTAACGTCTTGTAAAATATGAACGTATGACCAGTTGTTGCATACGACGACCAATTGTTAATTGTTGACCTACTATAGGATCAGGAATAACTTGTGCATCATACATTCCAAAGTCAATATTTACTGGATCATCAGGTTCATTTATTGGTACAGGTATGTTATCGTTAATACACATGTTATGGAGAATGATACATGCTATAATAATTTTTGAAGCTCTCTCTGGGTGGTAGTGCAAAACTATATGCTTCAGTAAACATCTAATTATAATTTTATAAAACAAATTTTTGTATTATTTATTTAGCTTAAAGAGAATATGTACCTAAAGCGCATTTTAAGAATACCATTACACCTTTCGATTGTTGATCTTGTACTTGTAAGCCAATTATTATAACGAACGTCAGGAGAATCTGGTGTTGGATCACTTAGTGGTGTTAAAAGCCAAGATCTTAGTGGGTATCCTGAATCACCTACAGAAGATATTGTACTGAATTGATCAAATTTTGCTTATACCTAATACCTATTATAGAGAAGATAGGTAATTCATTCTACCTAAAAGAAAATATGATAAATGACCGTTACTGTATAAATTTTCCATGTACGCTGATACACAACTTTGACGCCATATATACGAATCATAAGTACTACCAGGATAATTAGGATAATTAGCGTTTACATTTAAAATTCTAGTATCTGAATCACAAACCTTGAATTTTATAATTTAATACAATGTTAAAGTAATAAAGTAATAGTATACAATACTCACATAAGTACTAAGTACTAGGTAAGTAGTATAGGCAAGTATTACATTTTATACGCCACTTTATAAATCTAGTTGATAAAAAACGATGTTCCATGTAATTATATTTTTTCCAAAACAATTAATTTTTCAGTTACAACTTGCAATTAATAACAACAATTTTATACATTTTTAGAGATTTACAAAAAATTGTCTTTAAATGTAAAAAATATAGGTACTTTTTTATTTTAATTGGTACTTTTGTTTTAGATTCTTTTAGAATTTAACCTGTTGAAATATACAATTAATATGTAGTATATGTAGTCAGCCTTGACACATGTGTACAATATAGTAACTAGTTATGTACGAGCATAAGACTCACTCTCTTTACGGATGTAACATGACCTCGGTCGTGCATATATATAGGGCTTTTGATGTATGTAATATTCACTTGCACAGGCGTCGTTGTACAGAGCGTATACGATGTGTGTGTACTATCACAGTTTAATTGTCCAGTTGTACGTTATTATATATTATACTTATACATAATCATATTGTCGTGTTATTACTTATTATATTAATGCTAACATCATTAGTCCGTCAAGCTTCACTTTCAACAGGTTATGGGCCCAGACAATAACCAAGACATACAGTCTAGTGGATTCGTGATCGAAGTATTTTTATATTTGTATTAACGCAGAAAACTACAACCAGTCGGAGATATCCTGGATTTCGGAAAACGGCGGAACAGTGTACATAGGTAAAGTTTTGTTATAAATTGTTATACAGGAAAGTATACGGGAATCCATCGGTCATGGAAGACACGGTGAAGATAACAAAATTATGTGCGGAAAACTGGTCGTTATAGAAGTTCCAGATGAAGGTCATTCTAAATGCCTTGGAAGTAGGTGAGATAGTTTCAGGTGAATGGACGAAACCAAGTCTACCTATAAAAAAGTCGGCAACAGAGTCCGACGAGGATGCCAAAGCATGTTGGCAAAGGCATACAAACGCTTGGCAAAAAGCGGACGGTAAATGTCAGAAAATAATAGTTACCTCAGTTGACGATGGTCCATTACAATATTTGATTAACTGTGAGACTGCATTGGAAATGTGGGAGAAACTGCTGAGTATTTACGAGCAGAAGTCTGAGGCAAGTTTACATTTGCTTCAACAACAATTTTTCAGTTATTCAAAGGAGTCGACAGATGACATGTCGACGCATATTTCTAAATTGGTCAATTTAGGAAGGAAACTGAGAGTAGCGGGTGAACCAGTTACGGATAACATGGTTATGACAAAAATACTAATGACATTACCAAAAGAATATAATCATTTTTACAGTGCTTGGGATTCAGTCCCAACGGGAAGTAAAAATATAAATAATTTGACTAGTCGATTGTTGATTGAAAAATCACGGGTTATCCAGATCAAAGGTGAAGTTGGTGAACAAGAGAAATCGAGTGCATTTCCGGCCAAATTTCAAAACAGATCTGATGGAAGAAACGGCAGTCGTAATTATGGAAAAGGTAAAAATCAATTTACTAATAAAAGTAATATTAAGTGTTATTACTGTGGTAAACTAGGTCATTATAAAAGAGACTGTAGAAATTTTCTACAAAGTGTACACGGTGGTAAAACCGGTACTATAGGTGCGAACTTGAACGCATTCGTAAGCGAGTCAAGAATAAATAATATTGCAACAGATGCATGGGTACTAGACTCGGGCGCTTCGGATCATATGAGCGCAAATCGAGAGTGGTTTTCAAGTTATGAACCACTGGACAACACTCAACAAATCACTATAGGTGATGGGACAAATCTGTATGCAGCAGGTAGAGGTAATATTAATATATTATCATACGTAAACGGTAATTGGAATAAAAATTACATGGCAAACGTGTTGCACGTGCCGGGACTAAAATTTAATTTATTTTCGTGCGGAGCCGCGATGGATAAAGGATTAGTAATGACGTCAGATAGTAAGACGTGTATGTTAACTAAACAGGGGAAACCCGTATGCTCAGGTAAGAGATGCGGAAGGTTGTTTGAGTTAAACATCAAGGTCGAAGTACCGACAAACGGGTACGCGACTGTTAGCTGTCGAAAACAGGTTGTCTGTTTGGCACGAGCGCATGGCACATCAGAATTTACAGTACGTAAAAAGTTGTTTGGCGAAACACGAAATAGTATGTTCGGCCAAGGACGACGAATTCATGTGCAGCAGTTGTATAATAGGTAAACAAAGTCGTAAATCATTTAGTAAAAGTAATACAGAGTATCACAATGTCTGTGATTTAATTCATGCAGACCTATGTGGACCAATGGAGGTAAGCTCTATAGGCGGTTCAAAATACTTTTTGTTATTCAAAGACGACTACTCGCATTATAGAACGGTATATTTTATTAAAAATAAATATGATGTTAAAAATATTTTTGAGACGTTCATAAAAAGTGTTGAAACAGAAACAGGTTCTAAGGTCAAAATATTACGAACGGATAATGGATTAGAATTCGTAAATAAAGAAATTACGGGTATTTTACAAAAACACGGGATTCGACATCAGTTAACAGTTCCCTACACACCACAGCAAAATGGAAAAGTGGAACGGGAAAATCGTACAATAGTAGAGTCAGCGAGGACAATGATTTGTGCGAAAAATTTGGATGTATCACTTTGGGCGGAGGCGGTAAACACGGCTGTTTACACGCTTAATCGAACAGGAACCAGTTCAGTTAAAAATAACTCACCATACGAGTTATATTATAAGGTAATGCCAGACATTAAACACTTACGAGTTTTTGGTACTGTCGTATATATGTTACGGTAAATGACGAAAAATAATAATTTATGTAATTTACCGGTAAATATCGTTAATATCCATTTTAAATTTATATGAGTAGATTTTTACGTCAATTACCGGGAATTTACGATAAAAAATTATACAAATGGTCATTGTTGTACTTGTATCATATATTATTATTAACTACTTATTTTCACATGGTAATGATCCAACAACATACAGGCCAAATGACACTGTCTACAATACTGTCTGATCTCAGATATCTGTGTATTTGTCAGAAAGACGTAATGGGCCGTCAAAACGTTATCGGCAATTGTCGCAGGTCATTACGATCGTTATTGCACGTTCTAGAATACTCGATAGTCGATACCCCGTCCTAAAACTGAACTTTATTATCGATTACTTATACCTTTAATCTTTAGGTATCAGATATCTTGCTCATAAACATATTTATAGATATTAAAAATCTACCTAATGTAAAACTGTGCAGCAGAAAAACATAAAAGTTGTTATAATCGAATTTTAGTATCATACATAACATTTACCAATTAGTTTGGTGAATATCGCAAATAACCGGCGAATATCGAAAATCTCCATTTTATATATATATTTACGATAATTACCGGTTAATTACGTAATTTTCATGTTTTACATCATTTACCGTAACATATACACACATACCAAAGCAAAAACGTAAAAAGTGGGACCCTAAAAGTGAAAAAGGAATATTTGTTGGCTATACGGATAACACGAAAGGTTATCGTGTGTATTATTCGAAAACAAATAAAATTTCAATGTCTAGAGATATTATATTCGAAAACGAAGGTACAAATTAGAATTTACAGATACTCAGACTCAAATCGAGGACGATCCGGTCAAGGTCGAATTGACGACGGTCGACAACAGGAGTGGCATGGTGCTACGTGATCGGAATACTTTAAAAGCGCCGATCAGGTATAATGTGTCGTCGTTCGTCGCCAATCTCGTTGAACCACTAAATCGTGATGAAGCGATAGCTGGCCCACAGAAAAACGAGTGGGAGCACGCTATGAGTGATGAAATTAAATCACTACACAAAAACAACACTTGGTCACTAGTTAATTTGCCTCAGGGCAAGGTTGCGTTACGTAACGCATGGGTTTTCAAAAAAAAATATAAAAGTGACGGTAATATCGATAAGTTTAAGGCCAGATTGGTCATTAAAGGTTGTTCACAGAAATACGGTATAGATTACCATGAAACATTTTCACCAGTGGTCAGATACGAATCAATTAGGGCGATATTCGCAGTAGCAGCTGTGGAAAAATTAATATTACGACAATTCGACATCAAGACAGCATTTCTGTACGGAGAACTACAGGAAGAAATTTACGTGGTACAACCACTAGGATACGAAGATGGATCGAATAAAGTCAAGGAACTTTCAATACCAATAGACAAATCACATACACTTGAGCAAAAAGAAGATACGGAAATATTGAATGAAGATATTCCTTATAGGCAGGCAGTAGGTAGCTTACTGTTCTTATCACAGGTAACAAGACCAGATATAGCATATGCAGTAAACTTTGCTAGTCGTTACTTAGCAAAACCAACTAAAGCTCATTGGAACTTGGTAAAACGGATTATACGATATATCAAACGAACATTTAACTATGGCTTGTACTTTAATAACAAAACAAAATTGTCATTAGAAATATTTAGCGATGCAGTTTACACAGGTGACATTCAGACACGACGTTCGACGTCAGGATTTCTATTCAGGTACGGGTCAAGCATAATTTCATGGACATCGCAGAGACAACATAGTGTGTCATTGTCATCGACAGAGGCTGAATATATTTCGGCCAGTGAAGCTGTTGTAAGCTGATAAGACGTACGGTACCACTTCATACGGGAGAAATACGAAGAGGGACAATTCCAACTACAGTACATTGGAACAGAGGACCAGATTGCGGACATTCTAACCAAGCCTTTGGTTAAGGAACGATTCGAGTCTCGAGAAGTTGCGGTCAGCCATAGGAGTGACTACAATTAAAGAGATTATTAATTGAGGGAGGGTGTTGAAATATACAATTAATATGTAGTATATGTAGTCAGTCTTGACACATGTGTACATTATAGTAACTAGTTATGTACGAGCATAAGACTCACTCTCTTTACGGATGTAACATGACCTCGGTCGTGCATATATGTGCCTTTGATGTATGTAATATTCACTTGCACAGGCGTCGTTGTACAGAGCGTATACGATGTGTGTGTACTGTCACAGTTTAATTGTCCAGTTGTACGTTATTATATATTATACTTATACATAATCATATTGTCGTGTTATTACTTATTATATTAATGCTAACATCATTAGTCCGTCAAGCTTCACTTTCAACATAACCCAACCTAACCTATGAATGTATTGATTTTACAATTTTTTAAATTTTTTTTTTGTATTTGTGTACACGATAAGTAGTCAAAATTATGTTTCGATTTTCAAATCCAGTATCTAATTAGATGGGAAAGTGAATCTAGTTGGTTCATTGTGGAGGTGAAAATTTAAAATTCGCAATAGTTTTCAAAAGCGCCGAGAATTCAATACATTTTATTTAATATTATCAAAGTAAGACTTTAGCCACACCCCCCCTTCCAAAAAAAAAAAAATCCCAAACGCTATTTGCGCCTATGAGTGACCCACTTGTAACCTACTCTACAGCAGAGCTTACCACATCCTACTACTGCCTTCATCACTACCTACCACTTACCCGCCTTTTTGTAGCTTGTGATTTAAACTATATTTATAACTGTATTACTTGAATCGTTACTTAGGTACCTAATTGTATTACTTACTAGTTGAGTGTTTATACAGTGATATCATTTCCGATTCACGTAAATATGTTCCGCATATAGTCCTTCAGAACGAGTTGGAAAAATTGCTAAATGTGTACAATCGATGCAACCTATAACGCCCGGTACACCAGTTTTTTGGTAAAATCTAGATATTATTAAAGAGTTAAATTTATAGTAGGTAGGTACGTTTAAATCGTAATTGATTATCAATCATTATGAATATAGGCCGTAGGGTAGATATGTCGTATGAGTAAAGACAGATATTATATTACCACCTAGGTATATTTCAGTATTAAGTCAGTCAAATTAATTCAAGTTAGCATTCTAAAAACATTTGAATTTAGCATAAAGTCTAAATAAGATCAGTTTTTCACATCAGAGATCTGGGGGTGCCTGAACATACGTGGATAGTTTCTCACCTTCTAAAACACGGGTAGGGGGACATATTATTTCGTCCTCCAAAAAAATGTAGCTCAAACTATATAAAGGTAATAAAATAATAAGTACCTATTTAAATTGACCACCCTTGATTAAGCATTTAAGCTCTAGCCATTCTACTACCTGTGCCTCTGTCACACACTAATGTTAATATTGATAGGTACCCGATTTACTAAACCTACTTATTCTCATTTCTCACACATTTTGTTCTACAAAATATATGTTGTCTAAACACGACACCTATGAAACGGTCAGTACCCAAGACCATGAACCTTGAAGTAAAAATAATTTAGGTATTATATTTACCCTCTTCTGATAGTATTCAGTTTCTCAAATGAATCTGGGAAATGAACATACCGCTTGAAAACATCGGACATATTCATTGCATCGGTAACCTCAGTTATGCACCTACTCACAGAAGCTTGGCTTAAGCCTGAAGAACTGTTGTCTCCTATATCAAGTTGATAAGATCCACTTGCGAAAAATCACAATGCTGTCAAAACCTTTCAATAAATTAAAATTGTACATCAAATTGATTGAAAATTTATATTGAGTACTATAGGTACCTACATACTTTAAGCGTAGAAAAATAACTAATTAATCTATACCTTTCTTTCTATTGAAATTGATGTTTTTCTTGTTTGTTCAGACATATATGGCGTTAATACTTCAATAAGTTCGCCAGCCAACTCTTTACTAAGCCGACATTTTTTAATGAATCAGATTGCTCTAAAATTGAATAAGGGCAATAATAGTTAATAATAAATATGGCAGCTGGTAAGAAACATGATTTGTTAAAGGAATTTTTGATAGTTGTAGACAAAAAATTATGATTTGCAGCTGTTATTTTTAATTCAAATACAGTGCCTCATATACCTCAGTGGCAAAGCCTCGGTAAAATATCTCCCTATCGTAGGGTTTAGGACACCCCAATATTCTCATAGTTTTTACAGTATTATATGCTTTAATTAAATAACTGCAGGTAGGTAACTACTACAATTTTAAGGAAAACTAGAATTTGATAGTGTATGCATTATTGCACTATAAGTCAGTGGCGTAGACATGATTTCTGAAGGGGGGGGGGGGGTCAAAAAAATAAAATTACATAGCTAAATGTTAGGGAAAAATTGGAAAATCCTCAACCCCCAAAACTTTTTACTAAGGTAATAAAAAGCCAATGAGGGTGGATCTGACCCCCTACGTCCCCCCTTGTCTACGCCACTGCTATAGGTATGTAGTTAGTAGTTACCAAGCAAGTCAATTTATTTTAGGTGTTTTAGTTTATTACTTTTACTTATATCTACACATTAAATCTGTGTTTGGGGTTCCTGCCTAGAACCGTACTACCGTAGTAGTAGCGAGGCGGCTCTGAATTCAAATATATCTTCTTTATATATAAAAATGGAGACAAAAAATTAGAAATAGCATCAGTTGAGAACGGCTTGGCCGATTTTGCTCAAATTTTTTTTAAACGATAGAGAATGTCGGTGAGCGGGTTTATAGCATAAATTATGGACCTAACTCATATTAGTTAGAGATTTAGAGACAAAAACTGAGTTACACAGGTGGCGCCCTCTAGCAGATAAAAATAAAAATATAAATATAATATAAATAATAATAAAAATCGAAAAAAAAAATATATTTTTATATTCTGGTTGATATACATTTTTTATTATAGACACTTATAACTTAAAAGTAAACAAATATAATAGTTGGCACATTATTCATTTTACTTTGAAACATTATTTTTTTATGTTATCTATGAACTTTTTCAATCAAAAACGACTATTGTTTTTTGGAGAGAATTTTTATGCTTGAATCATGCCTCCTATGATAAGAACAAACATTGGACGGCGTACACGTAATGCAAGAAAGATTAATGAATTTAGACGTGCCCATAATACTCAGGCCAGCGCTGTACAAACGCCGCCTCAAATTCGACAACATGTTATTATAAGAAGAAGTTCAGATGTAGCGTTGAATCGCGCTGCTTTCGAATACGATTCCGCATACGCTTACAAAGATCTTTTGTGTGTTGATATCGGCTCATTATATATCGTATGCCAGCATTGCAAGGCATTGAAGTTTCGATTGGAAACCCCCGGCTTATGCTGCGCTGGTGGCAAGGTTAAATTACCGGACGGATATACACAGTTCATCCACGCCAAGACGAATGCTTCTATCTTCGCTTACTTTTGGTGAATGTTAGGGGCCCGACATCCTTCAATTACCTGCGTACCGTCGATGGTGTACTGTGCACAACTTTTCGGGAAACTTGCCAATGCTTGAATTGGCTCGAAAACGATTCACATTGGGACTTAACACTCGCCGATGCAACCGTTTCTGCGCCAGCAAATCAAATTCGTACGCTGTTTGCGATTATCAAAGCCACATGTCATCCATCGAACCCGAATGCATTGTGGGAGAAATACAAGGACGAGATGGTTGATGACATTTTGCACAGAGTTCGAACGACAAATTTTAATTTTGATATTGAAAGTAACGACGAGATGCGGAACGAAGCATTAGTTCTGATCGAAGACATGTGCGTGCTCATGTGCGGCAGTCTGTTGTCAACTTTGGGAATGCCAGCGCCAAATCGTTCGATGCACGATGCATTCAATCTTGAATTACAGCGGGAGAAAAACTATGATATAGATGAGCAGGCTAAAAGAGTCCGAAAAAATGTGCCACTGTTGAATTCCGAGCAGAAGATGCCATGTATACGATTCGCTGATGAAGGTTGTTGATGATGGAACGGGAGGCATTTACTTTCTCGATGCTCCTGGAGGGACAGGCAAAACGTTCGTCATTTCGTTGATTCTGGCAACAATTCGGTCAAGATCACAAATTGCGTTGGCTGTCGCATCCTCTGGCATTGCTGCCACATTTATGGAAGGCGGTCGAACTGCACATTCAGCTTTGAAGCTGCCAATGAATCTTCTCATGGTTGACAAGCCTACATGCAAAACGACCAAGAATTCAGCGACAGCGAAATTGATGCAAGAATGCAAAATCATCATTTGGGATGAACGCACGATGGCACATAAACTAGCTTTGGAGGCAGTTGACCGAACGATGAAAGATTTACGAGGTAATTCGAGACGATTTGGTGGGGCAATGATATTGCTCTCCGGAGATTTTCGTCAAACACTTCCCGTCATTCCGAAATCTACTGCTGCCGATAAAATTAATGCATGCCTGAAATCGTCGTTTTTGTGGCGGCATGTCAAGAAGTTGAAATTGACCACGAACATGAGAGTTGCGTTGCAAAACGACCCATCGGCTGCCGAATCCTCGAGACAACTGCTGGCGCTTGGTAATGGACACATTCCGATTGATGTTTTGACTGGATTATTATCGTTTCCGGCAAATTTTTGTGAGTTCACATCGTCGATTGATGTCAATTATAACAATCTCGATTGGATGAGTGAACGGGCAATACTAGCAGCGAGGAATAAGGACGTCGATAGCTTGAATTTTACAATTCAAGCTAAATTGCTGGAGAACTGCGTTCATACAAATCCGTTGACAGCACGGCCGATGAAAATCAGCGGTCAACTATCCGACAGAATTTTTGAACTCGCTTGATGTGCCCGGAGCTCCACCGCATAATTTACAGGTAAAAGTGGGATCGATCACAATTATGTTGCGGAATCTAAATCCTCCTAAATTGTGTAATGGTACACGATTGCCAGTTAAGAAACTGATGAACAATGTAATACAATCAACGATCATCAAAGGCAATTTCAAAGGGGAGGAAGTCCTTATCCCACGAATTCCGATCATTCCAACAGATCTTCCATTTCAGTTTCCGGTTAGATTGGCTTTTGCGATGACAATCAATAAATCGCAAGGCCAATCGTTGGAAGTCTGTGGGATCAATTTGGAATTTCCATGTTTTTCGTACGGACAGCTGTACGTTGCCAGTTCGCGTGTTGGAAAACCGTCTTCGTTGTTTATTTTTGCACCAGAAAACAAAACGAAAAACATTGTTTATCAAAATGCATTATATTGATTTCTGTAACAATTCATTACAATGGAATACTTGAATTTTATTATCAATATATACTTTATTTGAAGACGTATCAGAATTTTTATTCAGGGCAACGGAAGAGTTAAGTTTAATATTGAAACCATACACCGAATATTAAATAACGAATTGAACAAGGCTTGAGTCACATATAGTTTGTACACTTAATGGGCAACGAAGTGCACGGGTTCAGCTATTAGATATAATAATCTTAATGGAAATAATAATTAAGTAATGAGATAAACAAAAATAGATGGTTGAACTATGGAGTATAGCGTTTTTGCAGTACATCAGTGAGGAGGGATATTAATGGCCCAATTACAGAATTTAAGTTGGTGATAAATTAAGATAATACTGTTGTGACGATTTCTATTGTAGGATTATTATTAGCGGCCATACTTATACCTTATTGATGCTTAATTTGATATTTTTATAGAGGTTTTTAAAATCTCGAGTAAATTTAAGATCGATAATTTTGTTTTTAGAATGGTTATAGTACCACTAGTATAGGTATATAATTGTACAATATTATATTTTTTTTTTACTGGAGTCATATCTATTTAAATTATTTAATGGATGTATACAGATACTATAAGTCAATAGATGCCGTATTAAATTTGAAATAAATTGTGAATATTGCTTAGAATTAATAATAATTTTTTTAATATAGAAAAGGACATAATAATACTATCAATAGGTAGGTATATCATATTGAATGAACCTTCAAAAACATTTTGAGTTTGGTAAAATCGACGAGGATGATTATCAGCTTCTAATTCAACAAACTCTAACTGCTGTAAAAGCATCATTTGTTCAAATTCTTGAAAAGCCATCGTTTAAATTCGGGTTTACGCAACTATAGTAAGTAAATAAATTACTTGAATCAATAACGAAAAATTAAACTATAAAATGTTATTGAAATTTAAGAAAATGCAGAAGTATTTTTTTATTAAAACAATACAATTGAGTACAAATGATAATATCTAAATTTGATAATAAAACGTACGAACACTCAATTCGTATGGGAGATGAGTAACCGTAAGAGAACTACGAACAATTACGAATACGTATTGTACGATATCAATTCAAGAATACGGTTTTTTAATATACTATGTACTACTAAGTACTAATGGCGGTTTACGTACGCTTTGGTCGTTTACTTTTCTTACGTTACATTCAAGAATAGCCCCCCAGGCTCGAAGTCAATCACACATTTTTTATTCGATGTCTAAATAATTTAATACAGTCACTTTAACCTGCAGTTGGTGATTGCGCGGAAAACTGTCAAACTCCCTTCGTCGGCTCAGTGACTACAGGGTTTTCGGCATTTTTACGTCTACATGGTAGACCACAATATTTGCAATCGACCGATGAAGATCCCAAGCCGATAGCGTGGTCGTACGATTTTTATAATATTTTATGTATAAATGTCAACCGTAAAAATTGGCATAGCCCCGGCGGCGAGAACGTGCGGTGCCTACAGCATATACGCGAATTAATTTCATTTGTTCATGTTAATCTACTTCAACCATTTTTCCATTTACAATTTGTTTTTGAATAATCTTCATGTTTGTAAATTCTTCTAACATGAATTGTAAATGTTTTCTCTGGTAATCAGCATTTCTGAATGGTTGATTAAATTCTTTATTCCCAGGGCTAGGTTTTGAATTTAGTAGATCGAATAATTTGTCCATGTTATCAATAAATTGAACAGTACCATTAGCTAAACGAGCCACGAGGTAAAGTACCGCCTTCAATACAGGTTTTCATACCAGCTGCTACAGTAGCACTAAACGTTTGGCTAGCATATCTTACTTTCATTTTCTGAAAGGCACCAGGATTAATGTGAATATCTGTTAATTTAGGGGCTAATCGATTTAAACCTTGATCTGATTTGTAGAATTGAGTAAGGTATTTTTTATCTGCTGTGCTGTTTAAAAATGTTAAATTGTATTTGAAGAAATTATTTCTGGTGGACTTTAATAAATGCGGTACGTCAAATATATAAAAGATTTTTTTTCCATTGACAAAAAAAAAAGGTCGTTGACTTGACACATTCATAGTGTTTGCAAAACTGGTAAAATTGGGTCCTTGGTCAGTTGTTACAGCCTTAATATTTATTGATATACTTTGAAGTTTTGTAATTACATCAAAGATGGTATTTTGAAGATCAATCCCAGAACAACTATTGTTTATAAAATAGTAAGCGACAGGTTGTTTCCACTCATGATTTAAACTTCTCAACATAAAGAACAATACGTGTTTTGCTAGTTCGTAAGTCTTTGTGTTATTTGAGTTATTGAATCCTATTATATAATCAAGGATAATAAAGAATAGAATAGAAAAAGCAATAGATGCAAACCTAGGAGAAGATCAATTTGGTTTTAGGCGAAATATAGGAACCAGAGAGGCGACCTTAGCGCTAAGGATAATGATAGAAAAACAGATTAGACGAAACAAAGAAACCTTCATTGCTTTTGTAGACCTGGAGAAGGCTTTTGATAATGTACAATGGAAGGAATTATTTAAAATATTAAAAAGAATCGGAATTAAATATAACGATAGAAGATTTATCTATAATATGTACAAAAGCCAAACAGTCATAATACAGATAGATGGGAAAGAGCAAGAAGCAAAAATAAAAAAAGGTGTAAGACAGGGCTGTATTTTGTCACCAATGCTATTCAACTTGTACATTGAAGAGGCAATGAAAGAATTGAGAGAAGAAATACAGAAAGGAGTGCGAATAGGAGGAACAATGGTGACTGCCTTAAGATTTGCGGATGACATAGCTTTTTGTGCTGAAAGAGAAGACGACCTGCAAAATACCCTAGTAACAATAGATAGAATACTAAAAAATAAGTATGGAATGAAGCTGAACAAAAAGAAAACAAAAATTATGGTTTGCAGTAAAACTAATCCGGTTCGACTCAACATAAATATCGGAAATGAACAAATAAAGCAAGTGCAACAATTCACATATCTAGGAAGCAATATAACAGAGGATGGTCGCAGCAAAACAAATATAATCTGTAGGATAGCACAGGCGAAAAGAGCATTTCAAGACAAAAGCCACATATTAACTACCAATAGTGTTAGCCTGGAAATAAGGAAGAAATTCCTAAAAAGCTATATTTGGAGCGTAGCTCTCTTTGGATCCGAAACCTGG